ACATGGAAGACCTTATTGATTTTGTTCTTTTTTTTTTTGGCAGAGCATTTCAGAAAACGATTTACAGATTTGTTCCTTATTCTTCTAGAGATTTCACTCAAATGCTCACTGGTGACACGTCTTGGGATATTAGCACAGGACCAGAGGTGAAGGGAGACTCACAGTAATTCAAGCTGGGCATAACTTCATGCTGCTTACAACAATGATGGATTGTCTGCAATGTAACCACCTGACCTCAGCTAAATCTAGCAATTAACTGCATACCTGTTTCCCCATCTCCCAGCTAAATGGTTACTATTAGTTACAGCCTGTCAGGTAATAACAATCATTAACACTCACACTTAAACAGCTCCTTTCCTTTACTAAGCCCGAAACTCCTCACAAAGGCCATTTTTGTTGTATAAATGGAGGAAACTGAGTCACAGTATGATCAGCAAAGTAGTAATGATTGACAGTGGAACTACCTTATTATCAACCCAATCCTTTATCTTCTATACAACAGATTGACCAGGTGGATCTATCCCAGAGGATCAACTAAAAACTGTCACCTTCCAGCACAAGTCTCTTAAGGAGGCTTTAACTAAAGGAATGAAATTCAGAGATGAGTAGGTGAGACAGAAAAAGAGCTTGGAAGAAGGAAATTAGTAAGAGGTCAGGGGAAGTTTTTCTTGGGATTGTAATAGCGATTTGCATGTCAGTGAGTGGCTCAGGCTAACAGAGAAACAATATAGCTGTCTCGTTTGGGCAGATTATTATCTCTGGGTTGTGATGAGTGGCCATCGAGTGATAGGGAGGTGCCTGGTGGAGCACACCTTATGCAGTGTGAGCACACTACACCTGCAGAGCTCTTCAGCAAATGCACAAGAATCATTGGAGTCATGGAGAAAAAATACTGGACCCAACCTGAGGACCACAGACACATTCTCCAGCATAGTCCTTGTTGTGGGTGGATACAGGACAGACACATACAGTATGAGCCTTCCCCTGAGCCCTCTTTTCAGGTATTATCAGTTTAGGAGATTCTAACAATGGCAGAAACTGCACCTGATCCCTTACTTTTAATAAGTAATAATGTAGTAGGTCTTTTAATGGACCTGTCTACCCATAATTTGTCTAATCTGTATTTATACTCTTGGTGTCTGAGGCAAGCTGTGGTAGTCAAACTTACAGTCTGATTATGTGTACTTTTGAATACTCATGGTCTGCACTTATCTGAGAGAGACATTTTAAATCGCTGTAATCTATTCTTGCTGCCAGCCATCTTTTGCCACAGATGATGTGATGATTGAGCAGCCACAGATAAGAAACCGAGTCTTTGGCACAAAAGAATAATCCGCTGTCCTTTGATGTAAGGGATAGCTTTCTCAGTTGGGAGCAGGGACCGAGTTCTCAGATAAAAAGAAGCTGGTGTGATGTGGCTGAACTCCATGGCTGTGCCCACGAGAAAGGAAAGGCTGCATTCTTTGGTACCCAGACCTGAGGCACCACCTGATCTGGTATTTCAATACCACATGTGCAGCTCTAACATCTGGTGAGATGTTTTCCATGAGAGCTGCTACACTACCTGGCCAGGACACTGTTCTTCTGATTCACATGTCCAGGGGATATGAGCAAGCTGTGGGAGCCATGGAACAGGAGGCAGATGTAAAACATGATACCATGAGAGCAAATTAAACTTGCAAGTTTTAGCTGGCCTCTTCAGCCTCTGCCTTTGCCAGGATGAACAGTGGCTGGGGGTTTTCCTGTGCACCAGGAGGAACTGCCTCAAAGACAGAGATCTGCACATACACAAGAGTATTGGGGGAGTTCTTGCTTCTGGGTTCAGGAAGAATAAGCTGGAATTTAGTGAAAGGAGTAGATGCCATTTATGTTGCAGTGGAGCAAGCATCTTCCTCAGGATTTATATAGCCTTGAGAAGAAAAGCAGGAACAGCTTGAAACATTGATGAGTACACAAATCTTCACTTGGGACTGGGCAGGTTCTGAGACAGGTGGAAATATGGGCTTGGTCAAGGACATAAATCCTTATGACAGTGATTGCAATAATCTGCCATCTGCAGGAATCCTTTCCCCTGGAGTGTTTCATACTCGCAATCAGAGACTACTTGTGAAAAATGTGGTCCTGAGAGACTTCCTGGCTCCACAGTATTCCTCTCCTGAAACATGCTAGACGATGCACCCTGTGTGATGGAAGCACCTCAGGGACTATGCCAACACTGCCTGTGCTGTGATGGAGTAGGAAGGGAGAAAAAGGAATGAAAGAGGATACAGAGAAGGAAACAGAACTGGGTGGGCTTAACCAGCTGAGTTTTTAATATAAGGCAGGGGCATAATATAGCCTGGCCTTTTGTGAATCTGAATGTCTTTTAGGCAAAGGAGTATAATCTTTCCCGAGTAAATATTTGTATAATCAGGATTTTGTGAATCTACACTCATTTTAGATAATGAGTTTTCTCAGAGAATACTGTGTAATGAAGGGAGACCAAGAAGAACACTGCTCCATTGATTCCTACCAAGCCATGATGAGTGATGAATACTGTAGTTTGACATTACACATAATTCCCTCAAACGGAATCTCTGTTAAAAAAAATATACAAATCAGGATACAACAGGTCTTGTTGCAGTTTCCCTTAGGGGGAAAGAAATCACTTTCAGCTGTAAATATCACAAAAAGCTAAGTGGTTTTGTTTTGTTTTGTTTTTCTAAATAGGGTTGTATGCTTCATTCTTTAAATAAAATAGGGACTAATTATATATATATACATATATATATATATATATATATATATCAAAGTAATTATATATCAATGAGTGCTTCTTGTTTCACTGAACAAATGGAAATTATTTAGCCATATGGCTTATTTTCTAGCAAAAAATAAGTAATTGCTACATAGGTATTATAAATAAACTATTATATTACATAGGTGTTATAAACAAATTTATTATAAACAAATCCTGTTACTTATATTGGGGCAATGCATTTGACAAAAAGTGACCAAAATATTTGAAAAAAATCTGTAACTGGAAGAAAACCTCTATGTTCTTTCCACTAAGTTTCATTTCCCTTCCTCAGACTATTTTTAGAAAGGTGATTGAACTATTTATGTTTGACACTAATAATTCCTCTAAATTAATTAACATGCAATCTCTCCTTTGTTATTGCACACAATCAAACGCCAAACCAGTGCTATCCCAAAATTAGGCTGGTGTAGCTTTTAACAAGGGCTCCTATTCATCTGCAAATGTGTTGCGATTTTGCTTTAGTTGCCATAAATATTAACAGCGAGGCCTTTTTGTTCTTGTACTCCCTCTTGCTGCAGCCTGTTGCAAAGACTGAGGTTTAAAGTAATCTTAAGAAAAGAGCAAGAATTTGACACTTTATGACTTAGAGAGCCATTTTGCTTGCTAAATCCTCAGATGGGGAGTTCATACATTCATTTATCTGGCTAGGAGGCTGGGTGGTGAGCAGATTCAGTCAGTGTGATTGCCTCCAAGTACAGAAAGGTGCTCAGCACCAGCACCTGGTTGCAGTTTTCCTCAAATCCTATTTATATTGAAATATCTAGTGATGCTTACTAGCCAGCAGCTCTCTCTAAAGAAGTAAGACTTGTCTGGATTTTCTCCTCTGGAAGTTCTCTTACATAATTCCTCTGTTTCACTTCCATTTCTGGATCCAGAGCATTTTTACACCATCCAACCAACCACAAATGAGCAGCAAACCCCACACTCATGGTACAGCATCTGCATTTTACTCTCTGGGTTCAGACCTCCTTCCTGCTCTTACAGCAGATATTTCCTGGGCCAGCTATACCCAGGTGATAAACCAAAAGTGGATTTGCCATGGGAGGAAGGGACCATGTCACCCTCTGCAAAAAAGCTCCTACTCCCACTCAGGTGCTGAAGCAATACTCAGGTGGCTGCACAACTACCATATGCTGGTGTTGAATCCCGCACTCTCTGCCACAGTCCTGGGACTGAATACTGGTTCTTCTCTTGTGACATCTGCTCCCCTGTGCTGGCCTTGAATTTCACTGTTGCAGTGATCCTCTCCCCTTGTGATCTGGACACATCAATCCATTGCTGCCCTGTGCTCTTGAGTTCTGCTCCCCCATCAGGGATTACCATGGGATTTAGGAGCGAAAAAAAACCCCACAGGCTGCAGAAGACAGTGGATGAGAAAATCTGCTGCTTGAAATTCCCAGCTGACATTCTCTCTTGATCAGCTTTCGCAGCCTAAGAAACCTGGAAAGCTGCCCTGAAAAGCTGGTCTTAGATTCTGCTGGGTTTCATGGTTGGTTGAGTGTAAAGTAGCTTTGCAAGAACTGCACTTACATCAGGACTGCACGTACTCAGCTGGAGCTCTGAGCTTGCAGCTGAGGAGAAAACTGAGCTGGAGCTCACAGATAGAATGAGCTGTATTGTAGCATCTTTGAAACTAGTAAACATTGGCAAAAGGAGGAAGCCTGAGGTGTATCTTGTAGTCAACTCATTCACCACTGCCAATATGAATGATAACCACAGGGATGACCCAGCAGTTGTCACATTTCATCCTGACTGTTTTAAAGCAATCCCATAATACCCAGAAGGTCTTTACCATCAATAACTACAATGTATGCTGTGAACACTTCCAACCACATGAAAGGCAAGAATGCAACCAGGAAAAATGAGAATGAGTTTAGCAATTCATGCTTGACCAGTCTGATGGTCTCCAGCTACGAAACAGCTGACTGCCTTAACAGGGGCTCCAGCACAGTCCCATGGTAAACTGAGGATTCTGGGCAGGTTTTAGCAATTGGCAGAGCTGTGGGAGTTGGTTGCATTGCAAGTGTCAGGGACTGAGAATCAACTGATAGAAAACTTCTGGGATTTGCATTGGGGTTTCTCTTTGCAAATAAGGCAAACTGCATATTCTAATGTAATGCTACTACCTGTGGTGGCACTCACTGCCAAATAAAAATTGGGGACTGTTGTGCTCTAGCATCCTATATTTGACCATGCTAGAAAAACTGGCCATTACCTGACTCTCTCTGTTGCTCCTGTGGGAATGTATCTAGTCTATATCTGACTCTCAGCAAGTTTCTTTCTCTTCTTTTTGTTGTGTGGAGATGCAAACTGCAAACTTTCCTTTCCCAGACCAACAGAGGGTCTTTGCAGCTATTCACAATCATTTGCAAGTGGCTTACCTGTGTCCACTGAGTCCTTCCTTTTCATTCCATCATCTTCTAGTCCTTTCCAGTTCCTCAGGAGAACCATGGCTCCTGGATGCCTCTGATTGTCATGCAACCTTGCAAATTTGCAATTTGAAGCAAACTGATCAAGTGCAGATAATAGTTTCCTGTGGACAATAAATATCAGTCAGAGCCTGACTAGCCTTCCACAGAGTCAGGATATTTCTGTAACATAAATCTTAAAAGCCTAAAAGGCATAAAAATAATTTGTATTTTCTTCCTTTTTCAGAGAATGCTGAACTTCAGTTGTCACTGGGTAAGTTCACCTGACATTCTCTCAGCTCTGGGTTTATCTGCATTGACAGAACAATAAAAATTCTTGTCTATCACTCTACCGCTGCCACCTTTGGCTTCTGCACTTGGTTGTGGCAGAATTTAATGGAGGTAAGAGAATAATGATGAAGAGAAAAGGATTACAAACTTAATGGCCTGTGAATGGTGTTTATAGTTTGTCATCCTTACAGATGGTGTTTTCTTGCTTGTGCACCTTGCTTGATTTCTCTTAGCCAGAAGTGTTGATGAAGTAGAAGTTCAAAGTACAACTAAAGAGAAAATTCCTAATAGAAGAAAGAAACCTTTTTACTTTAAACTACCTTTTTACTGCAAGAAAAGTAAAAAATATATGAAAAAATGAGAACCCTTGAGGCTGATGGAAGATGTGTGCTTGCTCATTGACAGTATTTTATTCCAGAACTGAAAAAATGACCAGAAAAAATTTCTGTGAGGCAACTCTGTCCTGCTTCACTGATGCATCGTTTCTTAAGTCATGGTCAGAAATCCTTTTCTGGAGACAGTTACATCACTCACAGGTCAACCAGCAGAGCTTTCCATACACACACTCCCATGGTGCACAATCAGGAGAGAAAGATCTGGTCATCAGTTAAACCTGTTCTCATTAATTCAGCCATTTCTGCCTAAAACAAGGTAGAGGATATTCACCTGAATTTTGCTGCTAGATGATAATCAGTGCAGACACCCACATCTGAGCATCACAGTGCATAGTTAGAGACACCTTCCCTATTGGGACATCTGTTTGGAAAGTTAATGTTTTCATAGGATCTATCTGGCCAGGATCCAAGGCAGATGAAGAAAGGGAAGGTTCCTCTCACCTTTTCTCCCTCCAGCCTGGCAGCTCCTTCAGCAGCATCTCAGATCTGTGGCATCCTGCTATGATTCTGTAGCTTGGTGGGCCAGGGAGAGATACACCCTCTAAGGAATGTGTCAGTCCTACCTTTGGTGAGAAACTTCCAGAAGGAAGGAATTGGAATGGGCAGTGGAAAATCAGGAGAAAATGCAGAGGAAATCTGTATTTCTTTGTTGTTAATCTTTGCATCAGGAATCGTGTAGTGAATTTCGGGCTCCTGATGTCATAAGTTTATATAAGATTATAGACATTCTGCCTTTGTTTTATTTCTTTTAAAAAATAAGAAAAAATAACTAGTCCTCTTAACTGTGGAGAACAGTCTGAAGACAAAGCTCCTATTTGCTGTAAATGTAATCTGAAGTGTTCCAACACAAAAAAACCAAGCCAAAGCAGTAAAATTGAAATATTCCACTTGAGCATTTCAGAAAGGGTTTCTCTTTCTTTCTTTTTTTTTTTTTTTTCTGCTTTAAAAATAGTCTCTGGAGCTATTTTTGTCAGCCACAAAGTTTTTGTTTTAATATGTATATTTAAAACAAATAAGTTTATCTGTAGATACATAAAAGGGAAACAAAAAAATTTTTTCTAGCTGGACAATCTGTTACAATCCCCTTGAAATTAATATCAGATTTCTGAATCTCTTTGGTACTTTTTTTAAACTCAATTTGTCATAGAATTTTTAAAAATCAGTTATTCATCTGATTTAAATTAATTGATATGTTTTCCAGAACACCTTACAACATAAAAATAATTTGTTTCCATAAGTTTGGTACTAGATTTTTTCTTGCCCACACCTCTTAGCAATTTATCTTGGACATCTGTGGGTACAGCACCTGAAAGATAAAAGCTCATATACAAATATTTGTTTCTGGTAAACAGGACACTGATAATGTAATTTTAGGGTTGAACTTGATATTAGGTATAAAAAGACTCTATAAAATAATTTCAAAATAATTAAAAATTAAGTCAGATTTTTATCAAAACCTTGAACAAAAAAGAGAAAGAAATCCTCTCATCATCAATAAAAAACCCTTTCATCTAGAAAAATGAGATTTATTAAATAAGGGTGATGAAAAAACAATAACTCTGTCAGTTTAATACATGTATACACACACAAAGGTCAATAAATAGCCCAAGTAATGGAAGGAACTCATAAGCAATGCTTCTGCTGATTTCGTTGCAAGTATTTCCTGAGATTACATTTATTTTTGTGAGCATTGTTGCTTGGAAAGCTCTGTGTTTTTAATATCTATTCTCACATCAAGAAAGCTTAGGGGGAAAACTCAATTTGCATGTATTTTCATGCAATTAATAATAATTCAGGGTTTGTGCTTTTCTTATGCCAAAACCGTGCCCTCCAACCATGTATATTAGTCCAAGTCTGAATCACTCTGATTTTCTCCTCTGTTTGAAACAATGTTTGTTCAAAAGATATGAAGTGTGCTTCTCTTTTGTCTTCATTCAATCCAGAGTAGTCTTTAACATTTTTATCCAGACTCCTGGATATTCTGTTTTAAAATGGCTTCAATTTTCCAGTCTGACCAAGTCTCCATGTGCATTTTATTTCCTTTATGCCTGATTGCAATCAGTGGGAGTTCTCATCATTGATTTCCATGGAATTTGGATCAAGTTCATTTGCAGCATAACAGATATGTTTGCTGTCATGGAATAAGGCAGCTCTCAGGGCAGCAGCATCCAGGGAACTTGAGAGAACAAGGAATAAATTCAGGGTCTCTGATCTTGCTTGGGAGGAACTTAAGCAAATCCTGCTTTATTAGTGGTGACTGCCCTAAATAACATCTTGAGTGTCTGCCTTTTAACTGCAGTAAAAGCTTCTTTTCTCACTCAGGCTCTCCCAGTATTCAGCTCATTTTAATATTTTGTATGAAGCCTCTGTCTTCTGCAAGGTTTCCTTCTCATGATTTCAAATACTCATTGACACACTGGGCATTTTGGTGTTTTCAGCATCTGTTTACTCTTTGAGGTTCAAATTCTATGTCTTTTATAGTTTGGTTCTTTTTTCACTTTCCAAAAAAGTTAAAAAATTAAAAAACAAGGCATGGGACCTGGACTGGTTTTTTTGTTTGTTTGTTTTGTTTTGTTTTGTCATGTAAGTGCATCATTCTGCACAATCTTATTTCGTCTTTGTTGTTGTTGTTTTTGCCAGAGAATGTAATTATCGTAATTGGTGGGTGGCCAACAAAGTTTTAATTAGATCCAGGGGGATTTAAGCAGGACTATGTATTAAAAAAAAATGCAAAACAACGTTGCTAGAATTATTGGTTTTTATGTTGTGAGGCATCCTCTGTAAAATATGACATTGCCTCTTTGCATTTCCAGTTCTGCCCTCTCTTCTCCTGCCTTGCTCTTTCCCTTGGTTCTCAGGGAGTGGTGAGCTGGCATTAACATCCTCACACTGAGCCAACCCTGCCAAGCTGTCGCTGCAAGAAAATGTCCAACAGCTCAGCCCCTGCCAAACAGAGCCATTGATCCTCCAGCTTGTGCCAGTTCAAAGGAGCATGGGATGCATATCCAGCTTTGTGGAAGGGCTGACAAGTGATTTGGGGCAGGCGATTGGCATGGACATCAGTGAGCAACACTAAAGGCAGGGAGAGGACTGCACTCAGGAGATCTTCCTGGCTGGTTATAGTTATTAGATTTTGACTGGAAAAGGGCTGTTTTTTATTTATTCAGTAATCTAAAAATATCTTGGTAATGAATTAACCTGAACAGGGGGAGGGGGACAAAAAACCACGCATATTGATTTTCTAAAAGCAGCAGGAATGCTGTTATTTTCCAATTAACGTTCAGCATTAGAGAACAATCCAGCTGGAAAGAACCAGCTAAGCAATTCCAAGCTTTTTGCTTTCTGCACTTTTACTAGTGATATTTTTCTCATTTAACTTCTTAAAAAAGAAAGACCCTTATAACAATTTAGGCCATTTCTTTGGCTAATGGGGATTAACTTCTTGTGGGCTGCAGTGGTGTGGCTATAGAATAACTATGGTACAAATCCAACTGCTCCTGCTAAATCAGAAGGCATGTTCATCTAATAAAGGCTGACCCTGCTCCAATACTGGACAAAAGTGTGAGACAAACCATCTGAATGTAATATTCATGATAAGGAAGCTTTTCTATGAAACTCAGAGCAGGTCTGGGTTTCTGGTGAGATTGGTGATGAGTTCTAGTCTGATTTTGGCTGAGTCACCCTTCTATTTCCACTTCTTTGTTTTATTCTGTCTGGTAGAGCGTGCATGGCTCTTCCTTCTTACGGCTTAGCATACTCAAGGCTCACCAGATTCAACAGTAAACAATGAGTAAAAATTACAGCATCACATCCAGCCCCTTCAAGTCCTCTTTAGTGGCCACGGAGTGCAGGTTTACAGCTGAATGCTGTGGCCAGGAGCAGCCTCCACCACAAACCCAACAGGCAGCTCAGGGCCACACCACTGGCTGTCCACTGGCTGCTGCAACTCATGTTGTGCACAACAAGCACTGATAACAGGGAAGCGGACTGGAGGCAGGGAAATTGCCACTTTCTGAGTGAACACGTGCACACACAGGTCAACGTGCAGGTGCATAAATTGAGATCCTTACTTTTTATACAGGTTTCTGAGGTTCTATCTGAGTTTTCAAGTTTTCTGTGCTTCCTGAATTTTTATCTTACTCTCTTGCAAGTTGCCCTTTTCAAATTATTAACTTGTGCAGGGGTGAATTCTACTGAGTTTAAGCAACAGCAGAGTCGTCTGGCGAACAGCAGATGCTGTATTTCTGTGTAATTTGTTCCTTTTTTCTCAAATGCTCCAGGGAATCTGGCTGCAGAAAGTCCATATTGGGACTGGTAAACAAGTTCTGGAAGTAAGTGTTGAAACAGAATTCAGCTTTTGTACATCTTGGACTTGGCAAAGCATTTGAAAAAACTACAAGCATCCATTACTACTATACTGAGACAGAAATTCTGCCAGATATTTCTGAACAGTTTTGCATAAATTTCAGTATATATGTTCTTATTTAGCAAATGTTTATTTAGCTATCACTGTAGTTTTCCTTTAAGGGTCTAGGAAGGGCCCAGGGAGAGCGACAAAACCACCAGCTTTTGCTGAGGAATGATGTGC